CCCCCCCACCCCGGGCCTAAAAGTTACTGACTTCCTCCTGGCAGTTATTCATGCAAAAAATCAGATGTTATTCTTCTATTCTTCTATGTGGTACATGTCTCATCATATCCCCCATGTTGGTTGACAATAACAAAGTATTTCTCTTTAGCTTCTCTTGACATATAAAACAACATGGCAACATATATTTATATCTTGAGAGATTTGAGTCCTGTTACAGTAAAAACCCACATAAAAGAACACCCATTTTTGGAGTTGAGGCTGATTTTGTTCTTATTTAACAGGTGTTTACTGAAAAATCAGCCTGAAGGTGTTCTTAAGGTGTTCTTAAAATAAATGTTTCTAAAATACATACAGTATTACTATAGACTAGCAATACATGTAGATGATATCAATGTGTAAGTTCAAAGATGTTATTTAAAAAAATCTTGACTGCAATAATAGTAGTTAGCTGTATCAAAACAGTAGAAAAATAAATTATTGTCAGGTCAGGCTTGGAGTCTGCTACTGCTAACACTGTAATCTAAACTGTCTCCCCCCCCCTCCTCCATCAGTGTATACATGAGTACTGATGAGGAGGCAAAAATATTGATCTTATTTTTTTTAAGAACACTTTTTGCTATTTCAGGCTGATTGTGTTCTTATTTACATGGTACTTAAAACGCCCAAATTCAGGCTGGGTGTTCTTAACCCACTTGTTCTTTTATGTGGGTTTTTACTGTATTGCATTACAAGAATATAATTATTTGTAATCTAACCAGTGGGCTATTATTATTAAGCCTTGCATTCTGATTGGCTATGCTGCAAACATACATGTAGAACAACATTGGATCTACAGGAATGTCATTGCCTGTGAACACCCTTCCTTTCAAGGATTTTCTTGAAAATATGGAAAATAGCATTTCTGGGAAAGAGAGATTGATATTTGTTTTGGGAGGGAACCCACCAACTCAAATTACCTACATCTGCTCCTTCATTGTGCATCTCACACTAAATTATGCAGATGGATGCACACAAGAGGCACTAATAATCACAAAGTGAAGCCAAGTCTAGCTAAGCTTCTTTAGAAATTACTTTTATTGACACATAGCTAAGATATAAGTAACTTATCATTTTTTCACACTACAAGTTTATCTTATAACAATAGGATAAACTGGGGCATATCAGAGAAAATCTCATATCAATACTACTATGGACTAGGCCAAACAAAAAAATAAGTGTGTTTCCTGCTGTGCAATCGACCCTAATTTTCTTGCTGATTTTTGTCGACCCTAATATTTTTTCATTCGCAAATGCACCACAGGGCTCCCAGTAAGCTCATTTCCACTGTTGTATCAGTAAAAAAATCCTACCTACCCACCCCAATTATTTTTCTCATGCAACAGGAAACACACTTATTTTTTTGTTTGGCCTTATTGATATTCATCTCTGAACTCCAAGTACTGTGGTTCAATGCTGAAATGGTATGGTCAGTTTATAGATCTACTGTACAGTTGTAGGCTATGACTTTGGAATTTAGCCTTATGTTGAGCAACCAAAGCAAATATCATGCCTTTTTTATGCTGGAGACTCATGAAATACTGGGATAACCACAACAACAACCACGATGAGTTTATTACCACATATACAAAAACAAGTAGCAGTCTGTGTTTGCATTCTTGAACTAATTGTGGTCAAAAATACTGAACCTTTCCATTCTCCAACAGTATGCCACAGTTGAACAGGATGGACAAAAGTACATGACACCAGAAAACCTTATCAGGGACTACCTTGGCATGCAAAAGATTCAAGAATATGATGAAACAACATTATCCCTACTAGCTGGTGTTGTTGACCAGACCAAAGATGGGTTAGTTACAAATCATTTATGAAAAGATGACAATTATGTGTACAGTAACATTTCCTGTAATATCTTTAGTAGTAGATTATAGAATGGGTTGTTTAAACCTATACTTATTATATAGACAGCATATTACACAAGTAGAGATAGGATTTTAAGGTTTTCAATATTCTATTTGTTGAATTACCCAAATATAAAGGGGTAACTTTCCATGAAAACTTATCTGTTTTCATACTTGCTTAAGTATTTTTGCATGCGATGAATGCCAAATGTGTGACAACTTTATCAGTCAGTAGTCAGCAGTCATATTATAATCCAGTACAAAATGTTTGCCCTAAAAGAAGGTTTTGGTCCATCTCCAATAATGCGGCTGTAAAGTGGCTGTTACATATATAGTGGAATTTGTAGCAGCAACTTATTTGCAGCAGCATTGTCGGACAAATCATCAGTTACAAGTTTCACCATAACATGATACTAACTGGCCTTGTGCAGATGCTTTGTAAAGAAATAGAATGTACACTGTAAGATCCACTCATGCCCCTGAAACTTGTGCTAAATAGTTCACAATGCATGTGAAGCATTTGCACATAAGTGTAAGACTATACATCGAAATTAATGGATTTTTGTTTTTGTTTTCCTAGACTTATTTCATTCAGTGAGTTTGTTGCATTTGAGGGGCTTCTTCGTGACCCTGATAGCTATCACAAATTGATTTTTCAATTATTTGACTTGGATGGCAAAGGTTCTGTCTCTTTTGGTAAGTAAATTTAAAACAATTCAATATATACACTATTGTTTTTCTTTATTAGTACATTTATCTCTCAAGCATGGGTACTCTTATCAGGGCCTAAAATAACAGCTGATCCGTCGTTTGTCATGAACACAGGTCAAATTTGTTTTAACCTCATTTCTGGCTAAACGTGACCAGCAAGGCAAACAGTTTAAGCTGGGCTGCCATCATTTTAAGCCCTGCTTATAGTACATGCTTGCCTCTCTGCATTATTACCTGCCTCAAGATTCCCAATCTCAGTGTTGCATAATTAGTGGAGCTGCATGTTGATTCCTTTTTGTGTTTGGAGATTTTTATTCAGGTTCTCCAGTTTTTCCTCCTCTGCAAAACTCAATTTAAGGAGCTCTTCTAGAGCCACTGCTAAATACCATGAATTATTTTTGTTTTATTTGTATTTTTAAAATTATTGTATTATTATATAAATAGGAATTTTTCTTTTACAGATGAGTTCCAGACTGTCATCAAAAAGACAAAATTCTACGATAAACTTGAATTCCATTTCGAGTCAGAGTTAATAAACAGTTACTTTGGAGCGAAAAAGGACAGATGTGTACCATTTCATGAGTTTTCTCATCTCCTTCAGGTAAACATTATTGATATAAACTAAGGTGCTGTAATGACGTTATTACATTACCATTGATTTGCAAGAAATGTTGCTTGTTATTATCACTTTTCATGTAACAAATTTTCGTTCTTGCAAATAGTAGAGAAAACTTCCAATTAAGGATTGTCATTACATTAATTAATAAGTAATTAATATCATCTATTAATATTAATACAATAATAATATAATGATATAATGATAATATATTAATTAATATATTAATATTATTATATTAATTAGTGTTGCTTAGAAATGTCCATAATTTATGCATTAACCCAAACTGAATCAGGTTGGTGTGAATTGCACACTTGCTCCATTTTGATTTTGTCATGGATTGAAGGTTCAAGCAGAAGCAAAAACATATCATCATGAGCTTGCAACTAAAGAGCTAGCATAATATTGAAAACTGCAGTAATTGAAGACATTGAAATTTCGTAATAACAATAAGTAATAATAATAATATAATACCTATATGTATTTCATTTAATTTCTAAAAACATTATCAGTCAGAGATCAAAAATCTAAAATCTGAGACCAGGTGGAATTGTGGGGGACTGAGTGTTTTCTCATTAAAAATTCAAAATACACTTAGCCGGACAATTTACTAATGCAGGTCATCACTCAAAGTTGGCCAGCATATTATTTTGATAATAACTTGTTGCAAACTACTAATATTTAAAATCACAAAATTATTCACAGCTTACATAACTGGGCACAATCCATTTCAGTCCTAGATTTCAGATCATTGACCATTGATGGTTTTTGAAATAGGTGTACAGTAGGTCCTTATGGAGGCATTGCACCATCAAGTGATGGCAGCCATGACAGGAGGCAGGAACAATTGAAGCTTCTCTAATCTCATTTACAAGAGAAAGAATTTAGTTACCAGGGCCTGGTTGTACGAAGCCTGGATTAAAGCACTATCCAGCGGATAAATCCTTATCAATGCTGTTATCCGATAAATTTATCCACTGGATAGCGCTATCTAGGCTTCGTACGACTGGGCCCAGGAGAAAAGACTCAATTGTTGTCATGGCTGCCATCACGTGATGATGCAAAGCCTGTATTCATTGAATGATCCTGACATCCATATATAATTATATTCATAGAAATTCATATCCCTAGTTAATGTTTTCTGAAACTAAACATTTGGGTAAAAATTACCATGAAGGCAAATTATGTTAGATTTATATATTCAGTTGCTGTTTAATGTTTGAGTATGAATTTTTGTTGTTGGCTATATTTCAGGATTTTGAAAAGGAATACCAGCGCCAGGCATTCTTTTATGCAAAAATGTCAAATGGTGAAATACCAGCTACAAGGTTTGCAGAAATCATGAAGACTCTTAGAGGCCATCTTCTTACTCCATATGTGCGAGCATATCTCTTAACGGTGTGTTAAAGCATATAGATTGTAGTAATAGTAATTTGTATATATAAGCAATGAATCTATAGAGATTTATTACATGAAATGTTTGTCTCTGACTTTAAAAATTTAAAACAATTTTACAGATGTTTCAATCCGTTAACGCAGATCTTTTCAGTGTGTTCAGGGATCAAAACTTTTGTAAAAAAAATTAATTAAAAAAAAGTAATATTATGAATCCTGACTTCAATCAGTTATAGTATTTTTAATCAATAGAGATTATTTTGACATGGAAAGTGGACGCATGCGTTTTTTATTCAAGTGTTGTAAAGTATCATAAGATGAATGGGCGAGTCTTCAAGCATTTTTTTGTACCCAATTAGGTGGCAGGAGGTGAAGCACGTCACCGTGTAAGCTACGGTTACTACAGGGCATTCAATAGCATGCTTGATAACATTCTCATCCTTCATGATGTTTCCAATAAAGTGGCCAAGGGGAAACGATATAAAGAAATAAAGAAAGGTGAGGTCTTCTTAGCTCTGTCATGAATGACATTCTTAATTTATACAGAAAGCTTAGAATGATCATAGGGTAGCACTATCTAGCTGGTGGTGTAGCTGTGAAAGTGGTTTTCATAAATCTGTGATATACTCTTTAAATAGCAGATTAATCACTACCTCATGATAATTTTTCGTTTTCTTTTGTCTTTTTTGACTAGTAAACTTCTAATAATTAGTACATTTTGTTTCACAGGCTTATGAAATCCACTTTAAAAGAAGGACTATTTATTTCTATTTCTTTATTTTATCAAAGAACATGACCAATAGTAGACACTTTCAAAACATCAGAACTTATAGAATCTTGGATTTCAAGCTATATATTTTTATTTTTGACAAGTTTTTTTTTCTTTAACTGTAGAGGACTTCCTGCATGAGGTTCTTAAGACACATCCAGAGGTATGAGAGAATATGTCACAAAAATATGTGAGAATTTTCAAACTGCATTAACACAAGCCCAGAATAGACTGCTTGCAGCACGTCAGAATACAGCTAAATTTGGAGGCCATAACGATGGTTTCCAATTGTCATGAGATTGAAATTCTTTTGTTTTGTCCTCCAAATTAACCTGCTTTGAAGTCACATGCAAGGAACCTGTACTTGGATAACAAAGTCTTCATACACTATAAACCTTACTCCCTTGTGGCCCTCTGTGTGTAATGTCCCTGAATGAGACTTTTAAAGTAAATGCCACACCTCCTACTCAGATTGTTCATCCACAGGGCTTCAACCCATGACCTCCCACACAACAGGCCAGTGCCCAAGCAACTGAACTGAGCCAACTGGGGGACGGGGGGAGGGGGGTTCAAATTGATCAGTAAGACAGTAAATCTGTCTGTCTGTCTGTCTGTCTGAAAATACATGTATTTTCAGTATCAATTCTACATGGGGTAAGATGTTGAATGACCTGAAAAATTGCATAGCTGAGTGCGGCTTCTTGAAAGTTATAAAGGTTTTTTCCATGTCAAATGCTAATGCTGTGATGTATGAGGAAGGATTATTTTATGGTTATTTGTTGTTCCTTGAAATTTGAAACACCAGCTACTATGTGAAAACCAACTTGCAATAATTTCTATAAGAGCAATGGGTAAAACAATGTCATATTCCAAATTTAATTTATCTGTGCCTGATAAGGGAGTCAGAAGGGTGATAGGCACTCTTAAAATACAGTTCAACAATGTCATGGTACATCCATAATCAGATGTTATTTTCTACAGGTCACTCCTTTACAAGTGGACATTCTGTACCATCTTTGTGATGTGGACAGAAGAGGGT